ACGTTTCCCCATTGGACAGAATAAGCTTGATAGAGACAGTGTCTATCGATGAGTGATCCCCCCTCGGTACTACTCAACTCAACAACATATCATAGTAGGGAAAGAAGAGGAGTATCCACCGGGAACAACGCACTCGCGAGTACGAACTGGTGAGGTGAGGAGGGTGAGGTGGGGTGCTCACTTGGGGGGTCCCTTCGTCTTGTCGGCTTCTTTACGAGGCCTCTTCCCACTGTAACTATTACGATAACCAGCGTTTGAGCCCCACCACGACTTCTTCTTCTTCTCCTTGTGGCTTATGGCGTCGTTGCAGGCCCTCAGAGCATCGTTTTCGGAGAAGTCCGAGAGGAGTCTTAGTTCATTGGCCGGGTCTCCCCCTCGTCGAAGCGCCTCGGCGACTCTGTTGCAGGTCTTGCGATGATAGAATAATCCAGCTACAGGACCGCCCTGACGAGAGGAGAAGGAAAGCGAGTTGACTGCGAACATGGTGTTGGTGAGATGGCTCATAAGCCAACTTATCTCGACAGTGGGGGAGTCGGGAAAGTAGGTTGATAGCAGGGCTGTCGAGAAGGCCCAACGCATCAGACAGACCACCATATCCGACATCAATAGGTTATCTTCATCGACCTTCTCGTTCTCAGAGGCGAACTTGCGGAGTGGTGTCGTCAATAGATGCACAGTTCTTGCCACACCAGGTGGTGCCCAGCAGACTTCTTGAATATAGCGGTCAGAGGGGTGCAAGTCGTAGGAGATGCCCCTTAGGTGAGGTGACTTTTTGAAGAGATCGGCTAACGTCACCACCGGCTGTTGCTTCTCACTGTTGGAAGGACGACCTCCCCCGCTGGTGAGGTTGTGGATGACCTGGATCACCTCCCTATCCCACAGCTTGTCATGAAGAGACGAGGAGGTGAGACCAGCATTAAGAGGGTCCCCATCAGCCTCGTTGGCGTTGTCGATGGGAGCCTCCTCACGACTCTCGTTAGCGGCATGCTCGATGCCGTTGTTTGCGCCTCCCTGAACGTTTGAGGGGCTAGAGTTGGCAATATCAGTAGTGTTGTTGGTATTGTCGTTGTTGGCATCATCGTCGTTGTTGTTGTTGCTTGTGGCGGTAAAGGAGGCGGCGGGGACCGAAGAATGAGACGCCCTTCTCGACCTTGACCCGATAGACTCTTCGACTCGGCGAGCAGCGTTGACGACTGCCTCTCGAGCGGCAGCTGATTCTCGTTCGGAGATGTCTCGATCTGCCATAAGGAGAAGTAAAATCACTGAAGAGACGAGGCTGCGTAAAACCCCGGATCATCGTGAATAACCTGTCACAAGGGCATCCGAGCCCAGATCACCCAACCAAGGGGCGGGAGGTGACCATCCCGAGCGATCGGTCACCTCACAGACGGTCTACGAACCGTGAAGAGCAAGCCCTTGCTTGTCTCTTGAGCCAAGCTGACAGATACGAGTTTCTGTCAGCTTGCTCAACATGCAATTGATTATGTTGCACCCGCTGCAATGGTTGATCGATTTCAAGCTATGCACGCAAACACAATTGTGTTCTGGAGCGGCGCATTTCTGCTCTCCGCCCGGAGTCGGAGCTTGCTCGGCGTGGATTTTGACC